TGTATGCGTGTGTGCTGCTGACCAGTAAATGCCATTAGAACAGCACTATGGTAATATGCCAACTGCCTCCGATCCCTAAACAAATAACACATTTATACTATTCTGCCTGTGTTCCGTGCCATGACTGTCCTTTGCCGCTGACATTCAAATAACCTTTCTTCTGCTGCATAAATGGGAATAAAAAAGTATTGTGTTGTGTGACTTCACATGACAGCCGAGCCCTGGCAGATAAAAAGAGGCAGAATTCTGATTCCATCTCTTGTTAGGCTGTCGTCGCTCTACAGCTCGATCTGACTGTTACGGGAATCTGTTCAGAGAAGACTCTGTTTATCAACCGACAGCTGATCTCCATTTCCAAATGGGAAGTTCATGTAAGGAAAATAAATAGACGCATAATGATGGAGGAACATTGCTTAGTGCGCATTTGCCAGACAGTTCAGTGCCTCTGGTGTTTGCGTGTTGACCGCGTTTGAAGGCTCTGTAAGAAAATGTGCTTTGTATAACTGTCTTGGGAGCCGATATCCCCATAAGCTTTTGTTTTGATTTGTTGCTAAATATTTTAGAAAGATAATATATTAGCACAGTTTGTTATGTGTGGGAGAGAATTTGCTAATCTGCTCATAATGCTGTGCCCTGTCCAGTTCCTTACATAATCTCTGACATGAGCCCGCTGGCTTGCGTCACTCTGTCATTGACAGCTGTCAGCACAACACGGCTGTCACACATAGAGAAGCCAATGTTTGGGGGTTTTTTTGTTGGGTTTTTTTCCCCAGAGTGGTGTACATTGTAAATGAGCCCCCCAAAAAAACAAAAAGAAATATTTTATTCCCGTACGGAGCAGCGTAGAAGCTTTGGTTTCAAACCTAATTTATTCTACACATCTATCACATGAAGGCTATGGGAAAATGATTTAATGGTCCAATCGAGTAATGGGTTAAGCTCTCAGCATTATGATGGTGGCCCGGGCATGGGTCTGTAATGTAAGGGATAATCTTAATCCGTCAACGTTATGTCAGTAGTCCAAGGGTTCAGTGGGAACAGCCAGGAGATTTTGACTAGTAGTGATTTTCCATGTTGGCACAAGCCTGTAGGATTTTCAGTTGCTCTATGGGTTGTTGTTTTTTTTATCTGCATGCTACGGTGAATAATATGGAGAGAAAAAAACGAGGAATTACCTGAATTAATGGTTTGTTTACATCTGACAGGAATACAGTCTATATCTGATACTAGGGCTGTTCGATATAACGATATATATCGGATGACGATATAAAAACGTGTGATTTATATCGTTGTCAGGACGATAAATGTCTTATATCGGGATATGAGATTTTGGTCATATTGCGCAGCCCTATCTGATACCATGAGCAGGTCCTCTCAGTGCACACTTACTTGTTCTTTTCATCAGCAGTCATTTTATTCTTCACCTTGATAGAATCTTGCGCATCATTCCTTACATCTTTAATTTAAATTTGCATCACGCAGGCGAATGTGTTTTTATCTGCTAATAGCTGCTTACTCAGTGGTTAGGCAGCGAGTAAGCAGCCTCGGTAAACTGTTAGCGTGGACTTTGTAAATTGTTATGAGCGGTCAGAGTTGAATGATCGTTTCCTGGTCCTTGTTAATGTGTGCTGAAGTTTTAATAAAGGGGCTGATGATCTCAGGGCTGTGAAGAAGACAGTGAAGGGCACCGAGTGAGCATACGGAGGCCTCACTGCCCCATTGTACATGTGCTCTGAGTGACACGTCATCCTCTCAAAAGGCCTGCCAGTGTTGTGAATCAGTGTCCTTGAACTGCTCAGACACAGACAGACAAAGAACAAGCTTTAACATTCTGTTTCACTGTCTGCTCTCTTTGCCATGCCTATCACCCAAGCCCACCCGCACCTCGCTGCAAATGCTGTATACAGTCCTGAGACGCTGTACGACCCTCATGGTCTTATCCGTGATAAGATTGTGTTGTGGTGTGATTCAAACGTAATCTTGGCATCTCAGCAGGTGTCTCTGAAGTGTCCTGCGTGCAGAGGCCATCTCACAGTGCTGTGAGGAGCAGCAGGCTGCTGGGATGGACTTTAGCATGACTGCCTGTCTAACTGTGCCTGGCTTTGATGTCGTAAACAGAGCAGGCAAGGCTGGCTGACAGGGAAGTGGCAGGCAGAGAGGCAGGCAGGCAGGCAGGCGCAGTGAATGGGATCAGTGGCACTGCACTGGTCAAGCTCAAGCGAGCCAGCAGTTGCCTGTTTCACACCAAGAGGCAGTTAACACCGCAGCTCATGTCAATAGATATTGACTGCCAGATTGGGAGTGCTTATAAGTGTAGGTCTTTCTGTTTGATTGGGTCCCCTCTGTGAATTCAGTTCAAATCATCCTCAGTTGTCTGAAGTGTGGCTTAGGGGCCTCATGACCAGTCACTCAAAGGGGCAAATATTGACTGATGATTTAGGTGACTTCATGGTGTATTTGATCTCCGTTGTGCCATTGCTCATTTCTTCTCCTTGACCCCTTTCTTTATGAAAGCAGCTCAGCCTAGCGTGGAAATAACTATATGTTCGAAGTGATGTCTTTTCTCCTACAAGAAGCTATGGAGCCTGTCTCAGCTGGTCCAGAGACAAACCCTTTTTATTGTTGAGTGCACTGAACATCTAGGGGCTTGTGCAGCGGTGGAGGGAGAAGAGTGTTAGCTAGTGAGACTGTGTGCACTCAGGGCCTTCATGCTGCAGATAGGGCTATGTGAGGCATGCTTGTGTGAATGTATGCCCTGCCTAGCCTGGCACCCCTGTGTCTATACTCCCACTGCTTTCACCTGATGTGGCACAGCCTCTGTCAGGCCTGAGTGAGCGCCCAGCCAGCTCCGCTTCTTCAGGAGAGATGAAGGCATCTCACAGCTATGCTGTGGGGGTGGGGGAAGCTAGCAGCAGCCTAAGCCTGAAGCTATCAGAGGCTGGAGCTCAGAGCCAAAAGCCTGTGGGCTGGATAGGGTGGGTGGAAGCTTGGCTTAACTTGGCAAGACAACCATAGCTACAGCCCTGCACTGCCACCCAATGGCTGGGGCCTGCTGCTACAACCTTTAGTTCGTCATAACCGCAGCTAGTCATAATTACAGCACGCTTCAGTTGTTGTGAGTGCATGTCAGAACAAATTATGTAAGTAATGAGGCTGAAAATGCTAAAGGAGTCGAAACACACTGCACTGCTAATGCTCATGCGGGGAGAACACAAAAACAAACAATAGAGTGCACTCATACAGAGATAGACCTAAATGAAATAACAAGTAACTGTGCACAGTAAGGAGAAGATTAATTATGAATTAACCCTCTCAGTTAGGTTGTCAAAGCCCGCCTCCTGCCTGGATTTCACTCTAATCCGGGCCGATGAGGTGCAGTGCCCTCTATTGTATGTGAGAATCGCAAATCACAGGAGGTGTTGTCTGGAGGAGAATTAATTGTGCATGTTCCACCACTCCCTTTTGTTCATTTTGCTAAAATGTAGGCTAATTCCAAGTAAACATGGCTGGTCTTGTTGACTCCAGCAGTGCGAGGAGAACAGACAGATTCCTGAATGAATAGAGTGTGGCTCCCGGGTTAGTGGATTAGAGTCTGTGTGTTAAGGGCCTCTCCCGGGCATGCCTCCGGGACAAGGACATTATCCACATGACACATTATAGGCTCGTAGGCAGCTGATTAAAATGGGCAGGGATCTCTGGATTGAACCCCACAAAAGTACTTTTGATGTGATCAAACTAGTTTAAAGAGGCTGGTTGTTAAGGTGTTGAAGGGGATATTTAAAGCTCCTTGTCTTTAGAAGAGACCTGAGGCATTGTAGTAGACAGTTAGGCCTTGTTAGAGGGGTGAGGCTGATGTAATACTTTGACACTGTGAACGTGCCACTATATTTTAAAATATTATAATTTCTATTTCATCCCTGCAAGACAAATCATAATATTCCTCCACTAATTGGTATAGACTTGTGCTGCAACAACTCATTGCACCGTGATTGGCTGGCTCCAGGTTGGTTAGTTAAAAAAAAAAAATCCCAAAAACCATTAGATTGTGAGAAAATATCCTGCGGTGATCTTTCCTCGATTTAGATCAGATAGTGGCGTTTGTCTGGCGCTGTAGTGCACTGTTGGGATGGCGGGACTGAGATGCTAGAGATGTGGAGGAGGGCTTTGAGATAGAGATCTCTGGAGTGGGGTGGGGGTGGAGGTGGAGAGGGATGGTAGCATCAGTGGCTGCAGTGATAAAGCTGAAAGCAGTGGGACGAGCTGGGAGTTCTGTGTCTCTGATGTCTGTGTGTTCTGTCTGTTCTGCTGTGTTGCCCTGTGGTCGGCTCCTGAGGAGAAGGCCAACGATGGATGAGGCCTGTCCCCTCGTTGCTTTTGTCCTCTTAAGGCGGGTGAATCACAGGCCTGTCAACAGCACAACACCACAGCCACAACCCTTTTTCTGTAGCGTATACAGAGGTGCACATGCAGTCACTGCCACAGCTCCCTGCAGCACAGCGGGCATGTTATGATTCTTTGTGGCCACGGTGGATTTACTCCTGGGTTTTTTATGGTTCTGAAATATATACGAGGCTTCATGAAGTCAAGTTTTCCAGCGAGGAAAACATCTCCTCGTGTGGCTAAATGAGTCATTGTCGTAATACAAGGCCAATATTAGTGCTCCTGTAGTACATTAAGGATTATGGGTAACTTTTCTTCTAGAGGTTGTGTTTAGGATCCAAAATGACACTCTGTTTACATTGCTGCTTGTAAGGAGTTAAAATGGCCTCCTTGCTTACACACAGACACACACACAGACACACATTACAAATCGGTAAATATTCAGCTAATGCTCTGTGGAAGTGAAGATTCAAAAGCCATCGGATGAGATGTTTTTAGAAGCACGGTGCTCTTTCATGTACCGACATGGATCCATGGTGAGGGTGTTGTACGGTGACTTGTGACAGCAACGTTTTTATTTATTTTTTTCTTCTTCTTTCGTTTCCTTTTCTTCTCCGCAGCTCAAATCGAAATAATTCCCTGCAAGATCTGTGGAGACAAATCATCAGGCATCCATTACGGCGTGATAACATGTGAAGGCTGTAAGGTAAGCATCAAGAGACCGAACCCGTTTGTGCCAAGGGAGGTAGTGTGCCTGCGTGCACGCAAAGGGACAGAAGAGCTCAAAGAGGAAAGACTGGGAACGCCGGGGAAGTGCCGAAAGTTGCTTGCGAGGAAAAAATACACTTGAAAATGTTGCTGAAGTTTTGCGACGATTTGGAGAGGGACTGCAAAGCAAAGACACGCGGAGTGTGATCATTAAAGTGGTCAAGCACCGCAGAGGACATCACAGAAAACCACAATTAGTAGGACAAAGTCATTCCTCTGCCTTGCTTTGCCTTTCCCTCCCAGGGACGTGTCTTTTGCTGTTTTTGCTTTTGCTGCAGCCTGCTCTTCTTGAAATAAAATGATCAAAAGCACAGTGCTTTGAATTATAGCAGATTGTTGGCTGTTTGCTACAGTGTGTTGCTTCTATTGAAGCCACCTTTTGTACTGTTTCAAATGCACCAACCATTCACAGTGAGAGGAATTTTGTGCTTAGAGTGTATTCTTGTCCCCATGCTTGTCACCAGGCACATCATTAGCATTCCTCAGCCAGCCTGCACCTTTGCTGTTTGCTCCTGGTTATATATGTGCACGTGTGTGTGTGCGTGTGTGTGTGTGTGAAGGAGAGAGAGGCAGACAAGAGAGGGACAGAGAGAGAGTTTCCTTTCCTGCACTCTTCTCCCTCACATAGGAGCTTGCAGGGACAAAACACTAAAGAATAAACTGCTGAAATCTATCTTTAATGACTGCTAATTAGTCCAGGCAGAGAGGCCTTTAATGATATGTGCGAGTACAAAAGTTTGGACCATAAATCATAGCATTATTAAAGAGTGCTGCTTGTCACTGGCAGTTTTAGTCGGTTTCCATAATGGCTTCTATTATAAAGCAACTTGGCAGCTGTCAGCTGTTTTCTTGTAATTAAACAGCCAATGAGCAGCTAATTAAGACATATGTGTATGGAGCAGTAGAGTGGGGCATGTTAATGATGTGCTGGAATCAATTCATTAAGTCAAAGGATGAGGAATCCGGTCGGTGTGCATTCACAATCCTTTAACACCGCGCATGCCAGTGCTGCGTTAATCAACACTAATAACCATCCACTGTTATCATTCCTACCCAAACACAACACCCTCATGCTGTACTCATGGATGAAATGCAGCACTCCTAAGATACTACAGTAGAAAATATAGTCACGGTAGTATTGTTATGTATCAATTTCATATTAATAATTTAAAAAAAACACCACTTGGAAACAGTCACGGTCAATGAGTAATATGTTAAGCACAGTGGTAAACAGATCCCTTTTTACAGAGCACCTTTTAACCTTACTGGTTCTATAAAGCATTTTACAGTGTTTGTTATTCACGCACACACATCTGAAGCAACTTGGAGTTCAGTGACTTTCGCGAGGAAGCTTCAGCATATCGAGGACGTTAGCGATTGAACCCATATGATTAGCAGACAAACCTCTCTACAACCTGAGCTACGGCTATGCTATTGACATGGGGCATGAATTGATCCTTCGAGATGAAAACACGACTTCACTCACACAAGTTTTTCCAGTAACCCGAGCTGTTTCCTTGTCCGTCCTCTGTTTAATGCAGGGCTTTTTCAGGAGGAGTCAGCAGAGCAATGCAGCTTACTCCTGTCCCCGTCAGAAGAACTGCTTGATCGACCGCACAAGCCGCAACCGCTGCCAGCACTGCCGGCTGCAGAAGTGCCTGGCAGTGGGCATGTCACGAGATGGTAAGTCCTCTATGGAAGAGGAGAAGCAAGTGGGTGGATTTAGCAGGGTGGCATGGTGAGTGGTGAGATGTGAAGAGCCCTGGTTCAGGCTCCTGTGTGGGCAAACGTGTGCTCCGCTAAACCGCCTTTGGATCGATGCTTCAGGGAAACTGTTGGACACTGACCTCCCCGTAAAGGGAGCAAAAAGAGCTTCCTTGTGGCAGTGAAAATATCAAACTTACTGAGAAGCAGCTCCAATTTACATTATCAAGTCAGTCTATATCTTTTAGCAGCTGTGTATTTGAATCTCGCTGGAGAGACAAAGAAAATCTGTAGGAATGAGATGAGATAATGTCGTTATTCTCAAAGGGGTACAACAGACATTTCCAAAGGAATTCTTGGCACGAGAGCATGTTAAGCTGTCAGTCTGTGTTCATTCTCTGCCAGTAGTAGGTGAGCACTATGTCTGTGGGCCTAATTTGTTGCTGTGATAGAAACTAGGTTTGATGAAATACAAGGTTGTTAGAGGTTGTCATTAGTCCTGCTGCAGCTGAGATGCAGTAATGGGATCACACAGGTGGGGGTGTGTGCAGAGGGGCTCCTGCTGTGCCAGGCTGGTCCAAACTAGACTGGGCTTAAGAGATTCTATCAGAACAGAGCAGAGCCATGCCATTTTTCTGTAAATGGCACAGAGGGATGTGCACAGACAAGTGAAAACTTGAACGGAGTACAAGCGAAGAGACTGGTACAACTTCATAGACACACATGCACACTTATTAAATTAACACAGAAGTGCATTAGCACCGTGTGCGCAGCTATCCAGTATACATTATTACATGCACGTATGAAGACACACTCATGTATAAACACACACTCTGGACAGTAGAAGGTGACTCTTACCTTCACTGAACACACCAGAGCCCATCTGCCCAAACTCTTCTCTGCTGTTCCACTCACTTTCCACTGTGCATACACACACACATACACACACTGTGACCGGCTGACTTATTGCCAGGCCCCCAGAACACCGGCCAAGAAGTCTCATTCACAGAACCAATGTTTAGTCTGGAAACCTTAAGGTGGGAGGCAGACACTTGGGCTGTTTGATTGTCTGATAAGCTTTTCTGGTTCCTTTCCACCTTTACCTCTGCAATTGTGAAGCTGTTCATAATAATCTCTAAATCAATATAATTAATGCTGATCCCCCCCTAGATAAAAATATGTTGTAAATTAATGGGAATAACCCGTGGCTAAAATATATGGTGTGCTGCTTTCTGATAGTAAAGCACAGTTTATAGATGAAGGGTAATTAAATTGCCTAAGACTTTAATTTCTTCCCAAAAAATTCCCAAACGTGTGAGAAAACTCAGTCTGTGCAATTCCACTGTATTTCCTAGAGACAAGTGTCAGTATACTTAAAGATGAGGCAAAAGAGAATGCCATATAATTTAAAATCTTTTACTAGGTTTGAAAAAATAATCGTATTGAGTGTTTTCTCCTAGATGGACTGCTTTGGGGAAGTGTTGAAATGAATGCAAGTTTTCGTCAGCTTGAGTGTAGGCAAGCTTTTGCCTGACACAGCATGCATATGGTGAAACCGAGAGCACAGGGGAGGGGAGAAAGTGGCTCGACTGTAAATTACAGCAAATCAAAACAGTACAAATCAGATCAAAACTGGTAGATAACTAACAATATATTTATTTATTTCATTATTTAATTGGTTACTTTAATGTAAGGCATTTGGGGGAGAGTGCTTTGATAAAACACTGATTCTCAAAAGACAGTGATAATCTATGTACGCCCAACCCGCTAGTAAAACTAGTAGTGGTTCACAATCACTTGACTGTGAATACAATAAGTAAATTAAACTTAGTACATTTATTTTACTTGATGCAAAGATCCTTCATAGAAAGTGCCACCAATTCTGAGTGTTTTGTTAGTCTCACACTTCTCTTGTCCTGCTAATTACAGCAGTGAAGTTTGGTCGGATGTCAAAGAAGCAGCGAGACAGCCTATACGCTGAGGTCCAGAAGCACCGGCTGCAGCAGCAGCAACGTGACCACCAACAACAGCCTGGGGAGGCGGAGCCACTCACACCTAGCTACGGCCTCTCTGCCAGTGGCCTCACGGAGCTTCACGATGACCTCAGCGGCTACATGGATGGTCATACTCCTGATGGCAGCAAACCAGACTCGGCTGTCAGCAGCTTCTACCTGGACATTCAGCCATCTCCTGACCAGTCAGGCCTGGACATCAACGGCATCAAGCCGGAGCCCATCTGCGACTTTGCCCCAGGCTCTGGCTTCTTCCCCTACTGCTCCTTCACCAATGGAGAAACCTCCCCCACCGTGTCCATGGCTGAACTAGGTAAGGAGCAGCAGCGAGAGAGAGGGAGAGGCAAAAGGCAAAAGGAGACAGCAAAATGAAGGAGAGGGGGGGAACAACTCAACCGTGGGGCAAACGACACAAAGGTTGCTTAAAATAGCAGGAGGTTGGAGACTCATCTCCAACACTCATTAAAAGAGCCTCTTTTTTGTAATTAGTTTCCATTAATTAGGGCCAATCAGGATCCAGCAGGGCAGGCGTCTGGGGAAATCATTTTTTTAGGCTCCCCTGTGCCTAGGAACTCCTTTTAACAGATGTGTTTTCAAAACCATTTAAATTCTTATACTCAATATTTCTCTCAGAGAAAATGTGACCTTTGTTTCAGTGAGTAACGTGGCACCCCTCCTCCTTTCCATGCATTTGTGTCATAACTAGATTGGCTTTCCCTCAACCTTAAGCTATGAGCTTCCTGCAGGCAGTAAAAGGAAATGTCAACAAGCCTTTTCCCAGTCAAAAAAAGCCCACGCGTATCCGCCTCTCCTCCTTCATGAAGGCTCAGTAAATAAATCTTCTTTTCCTGTGGCATATTTCATCAGTGAGGTCTTCACTTTCACATAGCCTTGTGAGAAACATTCGAATCTCAACTGTGATCTTCCGGGTTTGTGACTGTGCTTGTGTTTCAGAACACCTGGCCCAGAACATTTCTAAGTCACACATGGAGACATGTCAGTATCTGAGAGAGGAGCTGCAGCAGATGACCTGGCAGGCTTTCCTGCAAGAGGAGGTGGAGAGCTACCAGAACAAGGTATCTTTACCACTGCTGTGCCTTTCTGGGTCTCCACAGCAGTTACAGTAATCAGAATCATTGTTTTAAAGTAGATAACCCATTCACTGTCCTATCTGTTCTTAGCCCCGGGAAGTCATGTGGCAGCTGTGCGCTATCAAAATAACAGAGGCCATTCAGTATGTGGTGGAGTTTGCCAAGCGCATCGACGGCTTCATGGAGCTGTGTCAGAACGATCAGATAGTGCTGCTGAAAGCAGGTATGACAGCTTGTCAACATGGCCTGTTGCCGTCAAACTCACCCACCACTACCAGCCCCTCCACCCCTCTCCTCTGGCATTGTCACAAGGGCGTAGCTGACCTGACTGCACAAAGCCCTCTTCTTCACAGGCACAGACAGTGTCACAGAGAGGAGACCCCACCCCGCCTGCTTTCCCTCACCGTCTCTGTCTCTCCCCGTTTGGCTCCGTTCATTACATACATAACAAAGGCAGACACAGCATTAGATAAGTCATGTGTTCCCAAGCTCAGATAATACCTATCATGCCTGCCGCCATTTCTCTCTCCTTTTCTCAAGCACCAGCGATGTCTGTTTAAACTTCTCTTAAGAGGATGCACTCACAGAATTGTGTATATATAACCCTGCTATGGCTCTTTGCACACAGTCACCTATATTTATAGACAAATACAGACACACATCTACCTCATATCCAGCAAACAAACAGCTCTCCTGGGTCCTTCCCTGGGTGTTTCTTTACATTAGCACAGCCCATACGAGTAACGAAATACAGTGCGAGATCCCTTGTCAGACATGACATTTTAAAACAGTAGCATCTCCCTTGGAGGCAATAATGGCTTCAGTTACATTTTCTTGATCCTCTTATCCACTCCCACAGAGTGGTGCAAATTATACAACACAATAAACACCTATCTATCTAAATAAAGGTTGAATGAATAAGCACTGTCACCAATGAATGGAGTACAATTTTTTATCAGGCATGTCATTATGGAAGAATAGCCTTCTGTCGATGATGTTTTCATCTGCAGAGGCTTTTTTTTCTTCACTCTGACAGCAGGCTTCTTTATTTCAAAGTGGTTGTGTTAGTCATATTGTAGAAGATTAGCACAAAGCTAAATCATGTGTTTTGCATGGCTGACTGATGTGTAACTGTTGGGATAAAGGAAAAAAACAGAAATAACAAAGCTCAGATTCAGCATCTTATTCCTGTCTGTCTCCACAGGCTCTCTGGAAGTTGTGTTTGTCAGAATGTGCCGTGCCTTTGACACGCAAAACAACACAGTGTATTTTGATGGAAAATATGCTGGACCTGATGTGTTCAAGTCATTAGGTAAGTGGAGTGGGTTTAGGCACGTGTGTGTGCGCGTGTGCACTCATGCATTTGAATGACTGTGCATGTGTGTATTTTTGTGCTGCTGTGTTTGTGTGAGTGTGTTTAGTTGTTTTTTTTTTGTTTTTTTTACAGTGTATTACTCCTTTCTTTGTTGTAACAGCCAAAATTAGAGTCTGCTGTTCTGTTCTGCACAATGCTGAACGCCTCGAAGCAAACACTCATCCCTTCCTCACCTGGCATTGCTGTCTTTTCAGCAGTTATTTATGGTTAGAACAGAGATCTTAGTGAGGCTCTGCTGCATATGGCTCCTGTAACTGTGGAATAAATAAAGCCAGACGGAGTGTCTTTAGGGAGAGTGCTATCAAAACTATCATTGATAGCCTGACATAAAACATCTCAGGCGAAAGCAAATAGAATTTGTGTCAGACTGCCATATTACTGCTAAGATGTCCCACCGTGGATTTTTCCAGCTACCTTTTGACAAAAAAAAAATGTAAATGCATCCCATAGTGGCTGAAAAAGTGGAGAATTCTGTTTCTCATTGTGAGTTTGCATTCACTATCACTGTGTTTGTATACGAGTGAGCATGTGTGTGTACTATACCAGTGTCCTATGAATTCTGTGCCGAGAGGTCCACAGTGGGGGAGGCAGAGTGATGGGCTTCCCGAGCTGCCGTGGCATCCGCCTGTCTCTCTCTATCTCCGATAATTGATTTAACTAAAAGCCTCAATAGTGACCTCATTTTGGCTTGCATAACGCCACCCAACTGCCAAAAGTGACTCGTCTGGGAGGCAAAACTCAGTAAAAGCATTGCCTGTTCTGCTTAAGACGCTCCCATGTGCTGTCAGCACGCCGCTCTTTTTCATTTCTCCCCCTTTCCTCTCCCCTCCCCGTGTGCCTCTCTCCCAATAAAGATCAAGAGTGAATGTTGTTCTTTGGTCTTCCATATCCTAAGCCCCCTCTCTCTGTCCTTTGCTGCGGCAGGCTGTGACGACTTGATCAGCTCCGTCTTCGAGTTTGGGAAAAACTTGTGTTCTATGCACCTGTCTGAGGATGAGATCGCCCTGTTCTCCGCCTTTGTGTTGATGTCTGCTGGTAGGTGTCATTCACGGTGCAAAGAGAGGGGGAAAAAAAGGCAAACATACGTTCACCACAATAATGAACACACTGTTGCAGTCCTATTTTTTTCTGATAATTAAAATCTTGCATTTCAAGAATTGTGTTTGGCTTTGAAGAGCCCCACATGTGTTTTACAGCCACATAAAGATGTGACTATTTTCCTTCCAGACCGGTCCTGGCTGCAGGAGAAGGTGAAGGTGGAAAAACTCCAGCAGAAGATCCAACTGGCCCTCCAGCACGTCCTGCAGAAGAACCACAGAGAGGACGGTATACTTACAAAGGTACAGTGCATACAGAACACACTTCATCCGTTATCCCCGAAAGCTGGAATTCCCTGCTGTTGTAGCAATTTAATCTTACACTGCTTAGGATCTTTATCCACTGGCCTTGAAACATTTTTAACCCCAGTAGATTAAATGAACCCAGATTTCGGAGGAAACATTCATAATGTGACATGAAATACCTCTTTTATCAGTATATGCTTTGTTATCAGCTACACCGGCTCCTTAATATAAAGTGTCAAGTTTTCCTTGTGCCTGAGCGCTTGTCTCAATATTTACAAGTCTGTTTGCCCCTGTGTGAGACGGAATACACTGTAGGGAGGAATGTTTTTCACTACCATTGCTCCATGTCCTTGCCTCCCTGTGAATCTAAACAGCCTGTCTCCTCTCTCTCCACAGTTGATATGCAAAGTGTCGACACTGCGGGCGCTGTGCAGTAGGCATACAGAGAAGCTTACAGCTTTCAAAGCAATATACCCAGACATTGTGCGTGCCCACTTCCCCCCGTTATACAAGGAGCTGTTTGGATCAGACTTTGAGCAGTCCATGCCCGTTGACGGGTAGCAACCCTGCCAGGTGCCAGTGTGCCCACCGTAGGGGAATGTGGAGGAGGAATCTGAGACACTTTACTGGTGCCCTGCACACACCAGAGCGGACAGATGGCACGCTGTTCAACTTCTTCTTTTACATTGGAGGGTAGGGCTTGGGGAGTTGATTGTCAAGGTTTACCATATTGAATCTAGTTCTCTTTGTAAGAATTGTGGGACCCGACACCCCACGGGACATGAAGAGGAGATAGGAACAAATCATTTCTGTTTGGTTGAACTTGACCCTCTTATGCGCTTTTCTAACCCAATTCTCTTCATTCGTCGTTGTTTTCACTTGATTAACTGCATCACCCCCTATCATTCTCCCTTTTTTTTTTTTTTTTTTTTATCTGCACACCTGGCTTCTAATCATTATGAACAATTAATGAGACACCTTTGAAGAAAAAGAAAAGAAAAGCTGAAGACCTCTTCATTTAGAGGATGACCACATCAGTATTATTTCCCAGGTTACACTCCCGTAACAGTTCTGCTTTCTTTCCATGGTCAAAGCTGTCACCTTTTTACGCAGAAAAAGTGACAACAACAACAACAACAAACAAAAAAAAGATAAACGCGCACACTTTGGTCAAGTTCAGCCTCTTTTCTCTTGTGCTCAAGCCGTATCGTTTGGGATGACGCAGTGCTTGGGATGAAAACTCACGGCGACTTCGAGGGAGGTTCCATTGGCATGGCGTTGCAATCGGCACTTCTCTGTGGACAATCGTTTAAAAGAGAGAGAGAAAAAAAGAAACCTAGAATTCTGGTAATTCTAATGAAAACGCAATGATTTAAGTTGTCAAAGACTCCATCCACCATTGTTGCATAGTGAAACCATGTAAGGCCATCTGCTATTAATCCTTCTCTGGACAGGTGCCCTGGAGAAGCACAGGGCGCCAATACAATGAAAAGGGTCCATTCCACCTGTTTTATAATGTACTACAGGGTATATGGTCATAAGTACTTACTATACAGAAAAAAGTAATGTTTATAGAATCTATTTTAAATAACATGTATGATATTAGTAGTTAGACCATTCTTAATTGTTGAATTGATAAGGCACTTTTATTTACACCGTTCTTTAATTTAAGACTTGTATATTTACCTAGTGATGTGTTGCATGTGCACAAGAAATACAAGTTGAATCATGGATGCAGAGGTTAGTCCCGGGAGCTGCAGATGTTACTGGTCTACTGGAAGCGTACGGGATGTCTGTTAGGGTGGCTGGCGTGGCTGCCGGTTGGCGAACAAAAGAGGCGTGGATGAGAAGGCAGGTTAAAGACACTCCGTCGCTTGTTTTCGCAACAACTGCCAGTGCGACGCCTGTCAAAATGTAGCTGTGATACTCCTCTGAGGGGAGCATGCACAAACATAAAAAATAATACAAAAAAACAAAACAAAACAACCTCGCGGTGATGTTTTGTTTTTGTTGTGAACAGATCTGGATTTCATGGCATCTGTTTCAAGTTTTTGAAAATACAAGAAAACTGAGGTGTGCTCGGGTGACAGATTTTGGGGATTTTTTTTTTTTTACTAAACATTTGCTTCTCATTGTACTGTGAAAATCTGTACATTTTTCTTTAAGGCTATAAATCAACCCAAATAGCCATGTGGTTGGACTGGGAAACTCACATGCAGTCTCTAATCCAATTGTTCCATCTAGTGGAAGATAAAGATACAGCAAGCGAGTTAACAGCCTAATGGCAAGAGACCCCGGGGTCTAACCTAAAAAGCACATTTACGAGCCTCTGTAAGAACATTTTCAGCGTCTTTATCTGCCTTCTCACCGCAGTCTCAGCCCGGCAAAGCCACGACAGGACACAGAAGAAACAGTGAAGGGAAAGTGAATATTCAAAGCCTTGTCTGGTTGTAAAGCTTCTATTTTTGTAACTTGTTTTGGTTAATAAACTCACGAAAGAGAACGAGGGAGAGAAAAAGATGTCAGGTAGCACTTAACTATATCCCTGCAATAATTAGACTAGCCGTTGTTCGTATGATTAGGGGAGAAGCATAAAAATGGTAGGACAAGTGCTATTTTCAGAATGCTTTGTTGTTGTGCTTCTGTTTTTGTTGAGTGCGTCTTTTTTGTCAGTGTGGTAGTAAAGTGGTAGAAAAAAGAAAAAAAAGAAACAACCCTGGATGTGCCAAACAATAGTCGTTGCTTCCGCTTTTCCAGTCTACTCGTCTATAATGTAGAATGGATTCCTAAGACATTCCAGCAATCTCAGTAGCGGCTTTTAGAAAAATCGTTAAGAACAAAAAAAAAAAAAAGAACAAAAAAAAGAGAAAAGACTAGAAAAAAATGATATCCCTTTAGAAACCCGACAAAGCATGTTAACACATCTGTCACCAGTCTGTCTGTAACATTGAATCCAGTTGTTTTGTCTTTTTGTTTGTTTGTTGTTGTTTTCCTTTTGTTTGCACACTATCATTCCTCTACCGTGCAATTTGCGCGAGGCGTTAATGCCTTGCGCTGTCACCCCTCAGGGAAGAGTTTCTTCTGTGCTTTTCTGTTTGAATTCATTAGATTTATAGTTTAGTAGATATTTTTTCTTTCTATCGTTCTCTCTTTTTTTTTTTCAGGGACGTTCCATGAGAAGTGGTTGAAAATTCCGATTTGAAAATTCATCACAGAGTTGTTCAGAATTTCACATTATTGGTGTCCTTAAAGGGCCTCCAGCCAAGTCGATTAATGAAAGCAAATCTTCTTTGTAAAAGAAAAACCCATCAAACCCCATCGCATTTACAAAGTGTAGTTTTTCAGTACACGGCATATTTCTTTCACGCACACAAAATAATTTAAAAAAAAATCTGTTTTGGTTTAAAACGGTGTCATCAGGGTCTTTATGAATAATAACCCTCTTTGTTAGGAAACCAAATATTCTTATGCAATACTAAATCTGTTGTGTTTTGGGTTGTTAGTAAATATGCTGTACCTAAGTAATAATATCTGTTAACGATCCAATGCTATTTTGGATATGCACAAGCCCTGTACGACTAGAAAACCTCAGTCTCAAAGCAAAAGAAACCCAGTCTGGAACACTGCTAGACAATCCGGTGTTGAGAGGCCCGGCGGCCCAGCAAGAGCAGAAAAAAGGATTAGGTGCGAACGCTCAGGGAGGTAACAGGTAGACCGAAGAAACGGCTCGCTTTCCTCTGGAGTCGCGGAGCATTTCGTTAACTTTTTTTTGGGGTTTTTTGGTGAATTTATGAGATTTTTTTGGAAATCTTTAAAAAGCACTCAAATGATGAGAGGAGCTTGGCTGAACTTTTTCTATTTTATTTTTAATTATTGGTTTTTTTTGGCGTAGCACACTGAACATTTTGTTAGAAAATAATGAGAAAATTGAGATTTGGCTGATTCTTTGTCAATTCTTTTCATTTTGTTTGTTTGTTTCTTGAAGATTATTATTTCTTCTTCAAACGTTATGTGATCACGTAAACAATATTCTGTCAAAAATGGTGAGCCTAAGGTCTACCACTAAAAAGGGGTTCTTATCTCGTAAAATGTGCTGTTTTGTTTTTCATTTTAGTCGAGTAGCTGGTAATGTGCTCTACAATGTATAACAAGCAATATGCCTTGTGTTATAATTACGGGTCTCTACAGTGCAGCCATCATCCTTTTTCAATTGACTTTATTCATACAGTTGATTTTTGTTTACTCTTTTTCTGAACAAAAAGAAGTAATAAAGCCCCATCACTCTATTTTTTAATCTTCTTAAGGTTCCGATAGAGGGAAGATTACAGGAAACGGTCACCAAACACACAGATGCTTGTGTATAACTATAAACTACGCCTTTACACGGGCCTGAAAAGTGATGTCTTTCTGTATATTCTCATTCGAGATATCCCACTTTAAGCGAGGGATCGATGCTACTTGTGCTATTCAATCAGTGTATAGTATACAGTAAAATGTGCTGGTCCTTTTGTCTCTGCTCTGTTGTCTGTAAAAAGCAATAGTGTGTGCGTGTGTGTGTGTCTGTCTGTTCTCACAGTATGTGAATATTTAAAAAAAAAAACCCAGACAAGGCTTTAATAATTACAGAGGAACAGGGTCATGTGGATGAAGAGGTTTTGATCTTTTTTCTTTTTTTTTTTAACATTTTCTAACAAAAAAGAAGCAAAGGTTTTGAGGAATGCTGAGCTCGATCCATCCATAATAGTTGTAGATTTTAAAAAGCATGACATAACGCCTTCGACAATTCACGGGTCTCAAAAGAAAAAATTCTTCGCTATCAGTTTGTTGGTCCAAGCCTAAATTGAAATGAACCGAGCCAAAATGTGCACTGTAGATTGCGTCTTCGACCGTAAATTGTGAAGACCGGCGTTATGTCACGCTTGAGGTTGCCGGTGTGTCGCCCAGAATTGTGAGTCAGTCGTCGCATTTTAACAAAACCCATTTTCCAAAGCACAGGTGATAAGACTTTATGATTAAAGTTACGTTTAAGAATATAGTTTAAAAATAACGAGACAAAACAATGAAAAGCAACTTTTAGCCATAATCGAATGTCAAGCAATAATATATGTCTGTGTATTATTTTTCATTCTTTTGTGCATAATAAGTCTTTGAGAACATCTGCATGTAAATACACCTCTTATTTATCGCCATTGGGTTCGGTTTTATTTTTGTGTTGATTTTGTGGATGTTTTCTCTTCTTTTTTTTTATGTTTCATCTGTACATTTGACCAGTTCTGTTCCCAGGTGGAGAACTAAGAACTTGACACGGCCTGTGTGCTGTATATCTTATTTTCTCACTCTCTCTCCCTCATTCTCTGCTGTTTATTCACCATATTTAATATTATTATTGATCACATGTATAAAGGTAGCTTTGTAACTTCTGTCTGTATAGGGTAAGAGGAAAATACTGCTACTAAGGCCTACCCAGTGAAAAAAAAAATTTATCTGTTTATCAATGACATCATATTGTACGATAACTCTGTTTCTACTTTGCTTCCCTCCTTTAGGATTAGTTTGATAGCGATAGGGCGTGCTGACATTTATTTTGTGTTGCCCTGATGTGTGGTGCTAGGTAAGTTAATTTTGTGAACCAAGTATTGATTCCTAAGCCAGGCCGCCCTATTAGTTCATTGATTTCATCGCATATTAATGTATTATTGATATTAGGACTCAACGAATAATGATAATAATGATAATGATAATGATAATAATGAAATTGAAAATGATAGTGGTAAAATTACCCAGCCAGTACCTGTATCAGTGTGCTAGACTTGGGATAAGGCACTTATTTCCTTCTGACTTATATCAAAGCTAGTATCTGCGAATTAACAAGCTTATTAAGGTCGCTTTTCTGGTTTGTGGAAGAATTATAATATTCAAACTGAAACAGCAGTATTGGATTTTTTTTGTCCTTTTTCCTTTGTGTGATTGTAAAGAAAAAAACACTCACTGAGGCTAGTTAGTTTGTCAGGTTTTAAGATACTATTTACCTCCCCGTGTCTGCATTGTTCTTCACCTGATGCAGGGAAGTGGTGCTTGGATTTCATTTTACAGAGCCTCGGTGTATGCTTTTGTTATTCCCCATTTTAAGACTATCCTGATCCTGAAGCAGCGGTTTCTCCAGAACCAGTGGCACAAGCCTTTTGCACCACACTGAAGTGTTAAAATGTACACGAGAGGATTGCCATTTGAAGACAAAGTTGACCTTTTTCTTTTCTCTCGACTCTGTAGCAAATATCAGTAAGAATATGCTTGCAATAATACACAACGTATCACACTGAGTGCCTCTCGGTGTAACAAAATGCATACATGGTTTTGATTGTCCTTTTTTGTTGTTGTTTTTGTGGTTTTTCCAGATGTGTACTGAAGTGACAATGTATTTTGTACATGAGGGGGAATTGTCGCTCGCTCATGCTTAAAATGTTTGTTTTTGTTTTGTTTTTTTTTCTCAAACTCTCTCTCTTCATGTGTTGTTAATTCTTTTTCGCGTGGGTTGTTGTTGAAGGGTTCCGATGTGTAGATGGTCTGTTTAGAGTGTACACGTCACCCCTCACGTCATTTCGGAAACATAACTGGGAACGTCGCTTCTCGTTGGTCGACAAATGCTCGCAGGCGATATTACAGAAGTGTTCTCCTGCACATTGTTTTGATTTTTCTGGTCGAGCAAAAAAAAAAGAAAAAAAAAAGAACTAAACAAACAAAAAATACCTAACAGAAAGTTCACATTTCTTCATTTTCTGTTAGTGTTAAATCTACTTTTTCTTTTTTATTTCACTGAGGATGGAAGATTTACTAATGCATTGTATATTAAGTATTTGTATGTGTTTGTAAAACAGACATACGATGCATCTGGATTTCTTTAATGTTCTGTGTTCAATGTGCCCTCGGTCTGTTGGGGTAATTTAACATAAAAAATGGGGTGGGTGCGTGGGGGAGGGTGGAGCAAGGGTGGCTTCTTTTTTTTTTCCATGCAAAAGCAGTACGAATTACGGAAAAAGCCGAAACTAGTGTGTGGTTGTCACAAATTTCTAAGTCACATGTTTGCTACTGATGTAAAATGGGGACAGATGATCATGTACCTTTTTATCCAGCTCTTTTGAACTCTCTTTAGCAGGTAGTCTATTCACAAACGTAGTTTTGCTCCTTCTTGTCTGATTCTTAAATATGAAAATAAGTATTTTGATTCATTTTGTAAATACGGCTGTAAAGAAAAATAAGAAATTTAATGTTGTCTTTTAAATACTTTTCATTCTAATATGAATGTTGTTATATTGTACTTAGAAACTGTACCTTTAATATTACCTTTATTAAAAGTGCATTGGACACATCGATTTTAGATGTGCTTTATGTGCTGTTATCCCATAATAAAATTTACCGCTTGTAATGGGCTTTGTTTTTTCCCTGGCTGTTTATCTGTCTCCTGTTGTCTGCTCTCTGTATTCAGCTCACACTAGAAAAGTTAAACCGCACGTTCTGCCGTTACTTAATCAGAGTGACGAGCCTCACTCCGCTAGAAACTTTTCTTAATGACTGAATTATGTGGACAATACCCAGATCTAAATAAATCTGTGGTGACTAAAAGAATGCAAAATCTGAAGCTTCTCCAGAAATCTGGATAATCATTTCACTTGTATTAATTATTTTAATGAATGACTCTTTATACATTTTTCATCAAATGTTTTCCATGTAATACATTTTAGATTTTGATTAAGCATTATTAACTGCAAAACTGTGGAATAATATCCAACGTTTCAGATTTTTTTTCTACATGTGCTTACAGTCATGTGAACTCTATGCAGGCCTGTGCAAAGTTAAATGCACCCTTGTTGCTTCCATAGGAGTTTAGAGGCTCATCAAATGCACTTAATTAACTGAGCATCAGCAAATGCGATCACCTCTATAAAAGCAATGATGGCAGTTTTCTGACCTGCAGCATTTCGTTGTGTGTTAATACAACAGCATAATCTTCACAGGTGTGGACATCCTAACAAATGCAAACCTCAGAGAAAAGAAAACAAGAATTACTCGGACTCTACAGGACTCAGTATGTTAAATATTAAAGTTTTTGACAGTACAATTAGAAAAAGGCTGAATATTTATGGCTTGTTTGGAGGGGTGGCCAGAAGAAAGACTTTTCTCCCTAAAAACAACACGACAGAATGCCTTAAGTTTGCAAAGCTGCATCTGAACAAACCACAAGACTTCTGGAACAAAGTCTTCTGGATAGACAAGATCAAAGCGGAGATGTTTGGCCATGCACAGCATCACTTTTGGTGAAACACAGCATATCAGCACCAACACCTCATACTAGCAGTCATGCACGGTGGTGGAGTCCTGATAATTAGGGCTTGTTGTGGAGCCACAGGACCTGGGAACCACGAACTCCTCTGTACAGTGTACTGAGTGGTATTCTAAAATATGAGGTAATCTGTCTGATTGCTGAAGTTGGGGATGGCAAGAAGACAATGACCCCAAGAACAGCAGCAGGTCTACACCAGAAAGGCTGTAAAAATAAATTAATCAAGGCATTGCGAATGGGACTTTAACAGAGCTTTGCCTGCAAATCAATGAACTGAAGCAATTTTGTAAAGAAGAGTGAGCAGAAATCCTTCAACAATGATACGAGACTGATAGTCATACAGAAAATGATTTCTTCAAGTTATTGCTGCTAAAGGTGGTTCCTCGGGCAACAAAATATCTATATGGACGCCAGACTTCAATGGAAAAAGCAAGTCTCTTGATTTTAGAAAAGATCAATAGAAGGGTTTAAGTTTGTCAAATATTAAATAGTGCTATTACTTTTGGTGTTTTTGATCTTAGTTTTCATACACCTCAGCAGAGTAGTGGAGCATGTAAGCTGCATTCAGGTTAATGCCTGAGACCGCTGTGGATATGAGCAAGAGATCCAGATAGGTCTCCCTATAATTATCTGTACTAGAGCTGGGACTCGTATCTCCAGATATAATAAGATTTTACAGACCCCAAGATAGCAACTAACAGCAGTCTCAGAAACCACACAGAGACGGGGCTCAGAACTGGACAGCAAAGGTTCTTTGGACATTATTATTACATGAAGGGAATTACCTGCTTGTAGCAAAATTAGAATACAGCATGCTCTTTTCCCCTCACTTTGCTGAAAAAAGGTCTTCCTTAATTCAAAGTAAGGAGAGTTATTGTAAACAGACACCATGGAGATGTTTTAGGCTGTTGGCGTGAACACACATTCAAGTGTATTTTTCTCTTTCATAGATGGGCAGGGAAACTGTTACCGAGCACTAAAGCAAAGCTGCAAAGAAATGTCATCTTATTTGTAACCAAATACACACACACACAAAAAAAATAATAAAATCGATTGATTAATAGTTACCATCCGTTAGGGGGCAGCAATGCACACAGAGCGGTTAATGTCAGCAGAATTTTACCAAGACGAATACTGTCGCTCAACAAACGTGTGTTAGCCAGATAACACTGAAGTTAACAGACAGTAGTGCAGTTTTTCCTGTGGACCGCTGTCACAGACCACCATGGAGCTCACATGGTACGTAGCATTCTCACTGCCACTGGTTTCTGTCCTTTGAATCCTTGTGTATATTATTTGTCAGCTTGAGCTAAGTACGCTCGCTACATCAAGTAAGGATTAGCACATGCTGGCTAACAGGAGTTGAGAGAGCTCACTTACGCTTTGTGCGGCGTTGACTTAACGTTATTTATATGGAATCAAATCCCATTTAGTGGCTACCTTAGGAGTAAAACCTTTACTGTTTAACTCCGAACAGGAGCCGAAACATGTGCTTACAAAACGAGGCTGCACCATGTTATTTATCCTTGGCTAGCTGTCTGTCAAGCTGCTTAAATAAGACGGGAAGTTAGAGAACTGTTAGACACTTCCACCATTTTTTTTTTTAAATAAATCTAAATAAATGTTGTTTTACCAGTTAAAAAATAATGTTGTTTCTATATTATTTCGTTTTTCTCGCTCATTTTTCCAGTATGATAATACCGTTAGCTAAACACTAGATTTTGTATTGTTTGTACCTGACGTTACAACTTTAATATTTTTAAAAAAATTTTACATTTATAATCAGTTCTGTTCAAGAATTCATTATAACAACAACAAAACAACTTTTATATTTTGAAAGGGAAAACAGGAAGTTGCACCTGAGAACAGCTGCGCAACATTTCTCTCAGAGAAACACGTGTTTCACTTTGTTTACTCTCTGTTTGGCGGAAACGTTGATTTGATAATAATAAGACTTATACCAGAATTAGGATTATATTTGTGCAAAAAAATAGTGCATTAAAATATATTTTAATATTTCGTTTATTAAAGTAACTGAAAAATGAAATCAAATTGTGTATATATTACATTTTTTGGATATATTGTGATATTGCTATTATTATCACTGGGATTAAAAAAAAAAACATCCATAAGTTAAATATGAAGTTGGGGTATTTTTTTCGAAACTTTGAGTCGGATACCTTGAAATTGCGACACTAAGTCAAACTTTTAAGAAAATAACTTCAGAAGGTGTTTTTTCCCCCCATAGTCAGTAAATTTTATTTATAAAATACTTTTTTTTTAAGTGAATATTGAATATTTATACTTTTGTTAATTATCTGTCAGGTGACTTTTTTATTTCTTTTTGTCTTACATAAACAAGTTTATCTACCGTAGTAATCAATATTTTTTAAAATTGCAGAGTAAAAGAGTAATTGTATAATATACAACAGCAATATAAAAACACCAGTTTAATTCTAGAAACGTTTGGCACTTTGGAATGGTTTAATAACAACATAGGGTCTCTAATATCTTTTATTTTCTCATTTTAAATTGAAGGGAAGACCACCCAGTTCCTGAAGGACCTTTCTTTTCCAGAGATGTTTATGACAAATATTCCCTTGCACCTAATATCAGAGAACTGTGGGCCTTTCTCCGAGGGTATGCCATTAAATTAACAGTTAAAGTAAACTATAATTTCAAGTGCATTTACACTATCTGTTTATTCTACTCGTGTTTTCATTCTCCTTCTTCAAGTCCTGTAGAGAATGCCAAAGCCAAACAGGAGTGTGATGATGGGGCTGCAAAAGTCTCCCGCTCTCCTTCCACAAATGAAGCTGCAGAGTTTAAAGACAACAGTTGCATCAGCAGCCAAGCATCCTGCTGGGACAGCTGTGATAGTGAGGATCTAAGTGCAGACAAAGCCGTTGAAAGAACAGGAGACTTTGAGGATACCAAAAAATCAGGAGCAGAGCAGAAGCAGATTAAGAAAGATGCTCCCTTTCCCGAGCCCAGGCTCCCTTATCCCTGCCTGTCCAACATTTCTAGCAAACAACAGGAGACATTTCTTGGTTTTTTAATGAATAAGAAAACCAAGGGTCCTCCAGAGGTATCAGCATTTGCATCTTAATACTCTTAATGGGAGCTTAGTCCTGGTAGTTGTAATTCCATTACTTGGTGAAAAAAGACCCTGATTTTTTGTTTGCTTGTTTTTTCCAGGTCTTAAAGGCACGAGTGAACAATGAAGTGATGCACTTCAATAGCTACCTCCAAGATGTGGCTAGAATGTGTGCTGATGACTACAATTTCATATCACAAGGAGCTATGCAATATTCAGAGGTACTGATACTCCATCAGTTGCACCTCTCGTTAGCTTTATGTGGTTTAGTTCATAAGCAATGAAACACAAACCCTAATTGTTTTTTCTTTGTTGTTTTTAAGGAATTTTTAAGGAGCTGTTTGGAATGCATTAGGATGCTTCCCCAGTTCTACCAGATCCACGAGCTGACCAGTTTAACAGGAGGGACATTCGATCCAGGGCTGGCGCTGACCTTTGAAAAACAGCTGCTGAATATGGTAATGTACATCTGCAGCCGCTTTTCAGTCTCAGCAGTATCAGACTACAGCCTTATATAATTTAGTTGTTCAGAAATTAAAATGTCTTTTTTTTTCCTTGTTTAAAAAAATTTTATCATCACTTTGATACCTTCTCAGCTTCAAGTGTGGAATTGCAGAATCAGTTTTTTTGCTGTTGATTAAGTTTCTCTATTACCATATTTCTTCCCTTTATTTCTCCAGGGCAGTGTGAATATTACAGACCACAAGATAGTGCCTGCTGATGCACAACTTGCATGGGATTATCAGAGTGTTTCATCAGAGAATCCTCCAGCTAAAAAGGCTAAGGACATGCATGCTGTAAGCAATTGTCTCACTTTTTGTAATTGCTCCATCAAAGTAAGCCACAGATACGTTTTACTGCTAGAATGAGATTCATGACCTCGGGTCTATTGAAATTCTCTTTCGCCTCTTGCAGTTTTCACCAAAGACACCAGAGGGTGTTCATGTCTTGCTCAGCAAAATTAGACCTTATTGCATTTTTCTGAAAGATGC